AAAGGGAAAAGACTCAGATCAACAGAATTACAAATGAAAAAGGAGAAGTAACAATTGATACTGCAGAAATACAAAGGATCATGGGAGATTATTATAAGCAACTCTATGCCAATAAAATGGACAACCTGGAAGAAACGGACAAATTCTTAGAAAAGCACAGCCTTCCAAGACTGAACCAGGAGGAAATAGAAAATATATAGAGACCAGTCACAAGCACTGAAACTGAAACTGGGATTAAAAATCTTCCAACAAACAAAAGCCCAGGACCAGTTGGCTTCACAGGAGAATTCTATCAAACATTTAGAAAAGAGCTAACACCTGCCCTTCTCAAACTCTTCCAAAATATAGCAGAGGGAGTAACACTCCCAAACTCATTCTATGAGGCCATCATCACCCTGATACCAAAACCATACAGAGATGTCAGAAAAAAGAAAACTACAGGCTAACATCACTGATGCACATAGATACAAAAGTCCTCAACAAAATACTAGCAAATAGAATCCAACAGCTCATTAAAAGGATCATACACCATGATCAAGTGGGTTTTATCTCAGGAATGCAAGGATTCTTCAATGTATGAAATCAGTCAATTTGATACACCATATTAATAAATTGAAGGATAAAAACTATATGATAAACTCAATAGATGCAGAAAAAGCTTTCGAGAAAATTCAACACCCGTTTATGATAAAAACTCTACAGAAAGTAGGCATAGAGGGAACCTACCTCAACATAATAAAAGCCATGTATGACAAACTCACAGCCAACATTGTTCTCAGTGGTGAAAAACTGAAAGCATTTCCTCTAAGGTCAGGAGCAAGACAAGGTTGCCCACTCTCACCACTGTTATTCAACATAGTTTTGGAAGTTTTAGCCACAGGAATCAGGGAAGAAAAAGAAATTAAAGGCATCCAAATCAGAACAGAAGTAAAACTGTTACTGTTTGCAGATAACATGTTACTATACATAGAGAAGCCTAAAGATGCTACCAGAAAACTACTAGAGCTAATCAGTGAATTTGGTAGAGTAGCAGGATACAAAATTAATGCACAGAAATCTCTTGCATTCCTATACACAAATGATGAAAAATTTGAAAGAGAAATTCAGGAAACACTCCCATTTATCATTGCAACAAGAAGGGTAGAATACCTAGGAATAAACCTACCTAAGGAGACAAAAGTCCTGTATGCAGGAAACTATAAGACACTGATAAAAGAAATTAAAGGTGGTACAAGCAGATGGAGAGGTATACCATGTCCTCGGATTGGAAGCATCAACATTGTGAAAATGACTGTACTACCCAAAGCAATCTACAGATTCAATGCAATCCCCATCAAACTACCACTGGCATTTTTCACAGAACTAGAACAAAAAAAAGTCACAATTTGTATGGAAACGCAAATGACCCCAATAGCCAAAGCAATCTAAAAAAGAAAAACGGAGCTGGAAGAATCAGGTTCCTAGACTTCAGACTATACTACAAAGCTACAGTAATCAAGACAGTATGGTACTGGCACAAAAACAGAAATATAGATCAATGGAATAGGATAGAAAGCCCAGAGAGAACCCCATGCACATATGATCACCTTATTTTTGATAAAGGGGACAAGAGTATACAGTGGAGAAAAGGCAGCATCCTCAATAAGTGGTGCTGGGAAAGCTGGACAGTTGCATGTAAAAGAATGAAATTAGAACACTTCCTAACACCATACACAAAAATAAACTCAAAATGGATTAAAGACCAAATGTAACACCAGACACTATCAAACTCTTAGAGGAAAATGTAGGCAGAACACTCTGACATAAATCACAGCAAGATCCTTTTTGACCCACCTCCTAGAGAAATGGAAATAAATAACAAAAATAAACAAATGGGACCCAATGAAATTTAAAAGCTTTTGCACATCAAAGGAAACCATAAACAAAATGAAAAGACCACCCTCAAAATGCGAGAAAATATTTGCAAACGAAGCAACTGACAAACGATTAATGTCCGAAATATAGAAGCAGCTAATGCAGCTCAATCTCAAAAAGGCAAACAACCCAATCCAAAAATGGGCAGAAGGCTGAAATAGACATTTCTCCAAAGAAGATACACAGATTGCCAACAAACACATGAAAAGATGCTCAACATCACTAATCATTAGAGAAATGCAAATCAAAACTACAGTGAGATATCACCTCACAGTGGTCAGAATGGCCATCATCAAAAAATCTACAAACAGTAAATGCTGGAGAGGGTGTGGAGAAAAGGAACCCTCCTGCACTGCTGGTGGGAATGTAAATTGATACAGCCTCTATGGAGAACAGTATGGAGGTTCCTTAAAGAACTAAAAGTAGAACTACCATATGACCCAGTAATCCCACTACTGGGCATATACCCTGAGAAAACCATAATTCAAAAAGAGTCATGTACCACAACGTTCATTGCAGCACTATTTACAACAGCCAGGACACGGAAGCAACCTAAGTGTTCATTGACAGGTGAGTGGATAAAGAAGATCATATATACAGTGGAATATTAGCCATAAAAAGAAACAAAATTGAGTTATTTGTAGTGAGGAGGATGGGCATAGAGTCTGTCATACAGACTGAAGTAAGTCAGAGAGAGAAAAACAAATATTGTATGCTACACGTACATATGGAATCTAAGAAGGAAAAAACGGTTCTGATTAACCTAAGGGCAGGACAGAAATAAAGACAGAGACGTAGAGAATGGACTTAAGGACATGGGGAGGGGGAAGGGTAAGCTGGGATGAAGTGAGAGAGCAGCATTGACATATATACACTACCAAATGTAAGATAGCTAGTGAGAAGCAGCTGCATAGCACAGGGAGATCAGCTCGGTGCTTTGTGACCACCTAGAGGGGTGGGATATGGAAGGTGGGAGGGAGACGCAAGAGGGAGGGGATATGGGGATATATGTATGCATATAGCTGATTCACTTTGTTATAAAGCAGAAACTAACACACCATGGTAAAGCAGTTATACTCCAATAAAGATGTTAAAATAAAGTAAAATAAAATGAAATAACATTTTCTTATTTGACACAAGAATGCTCCGGGCTCATCTTAAAGTTATTTTTCCAAAGGGTTCTAATTCTTTTTTAGTGGCAGAGGTCTATAATTCACTATCTTGGCACCATGTAAGTGGTAAGAGGTAAAGGGGGAAGAAATCACAGGACAGTTCACTCATGCTCATTTTGGACACAATCTGCTTGGTGTGATTGGCCCTTGTCCCTACTCTTTAGACTTGGCATTTAACACGGTTTTCACTTCTATAGCCTTAAAGTATGTTCTGATTTCAGAGCAAGTTACCTATTTCTAGATTTTTTTGACCTTTTAAAAACATTGTTTTTTCATGAATTTTAGAACCACATGTCAAAATTCAAGTTCCAAAAAAATTTCGTTGATGTTTTAAAAAGTGTTGCATTTATTATTAGTTTAGGGTAGGATTTATCTATTTTTTTTTGCAAGATTGGGATTAATAAATGACTTCATTTTTTTCTTCCATTATAGGCTTCAGGAAAAGGCTTATAGTTTTTATCACATAACTCTCATGTGCCTCTTGTTAAAATTGTTATAGTATAATTGTTTATAGTTTTGTGTTTGTGAATAGTATCTTTTTAACATTTCTTCTATTGTCAATTAACACATATGGAAAAGTGCCTAAACCATGGATGTATAGTAATGAATTTTTTTTAACCAGGAACCAGGTCAATAAATAGAACCTTGCTGGCACCCTGAGGCTCCCCTGTATGCCCTTTCCTAATCACAACACCCCTCCCTTCCTTTCCTCCTAAAGCCAGCAAATTACGGAAACTAGAGCTGCTTATTAATACATTGTTCAATACAGGGAAATATGACAGTTAAGAAGGGGAGGCTTTCTTCCCTGCCACAGAATTCTTCAGAGGTATTTACTCTGTGGTCCTTTATGTAAGGGCCAAAGAATAATATGACTATTTTCAAGGCTAGCTTTATGAGACAGGCAGATTTATATTTCTTGATTCTGTTTTGTACAGAACGATTCCATCCTTGATTGAGTAAAGCAGAGATTACAATATAAATTAAAAAGAGTCTTTCCAAGGTTTGTTTTGTTTAGATGTCAAAATAGTAGCCTTAGATTATCTAGCTTGATAGAGAAGCTGAAACGGTTGTTCTGATTTTTGTTAGTTTAATGAGGTTGTGGAAATTGCTCAGACCATTTACCAGCCTCAGCTCCCTTCCGGTGCTGCTGATCAAGATAAATGCATGGTTTCTTTTCGGCCTCTCTTAGATTTTGGTGTCCAGTTCTGTCTTGGGGCCTCTTCTCACTGTGCACTTTGTATCTGAGCTGTCTCATACTATTGCTTCAGTGCCTACGTTTATCCTCATAAAATCCACTTTTATTTCCCAGACCAGGCTTTCCTGACCTGTGATTCTCTTAAATTCATATAATTGACTTTTAGGGTCATCTTAACATCTACCTGATTGAGTTGTTAGGGATCAGGAATTTGACCAAAGTCTGGCCTAGGGAAATTTTTGCAGAATAGGAAGTACAGAGGAAACAGCCTATGGAAATGAGTGGTTACGCTATAAAATATGTTATATTCATTATATTATTAGATATATTATCATTAGTTTCAATGCTTCATCTCTATTTTCATACAAATAGGGTCTTTATAGTTGTTTGTACCTTTTGAGAAATGATCTTGGTATTATGCTTGAAGTATTAATTCCAAAAACTTTGTCTATTTCTCCCTATCTTTAACTTTCTGAAGTGCTAATTAGAAAGTGCCCATATTCTTACAGATATTAATAGCACTAAGTTACTGGTGGCTTTCCCACCACTTTGTTAGTTGAGGCTCTTTTTTATTTTCAATTCTGTCTCAGTGAATTCGTTAATGAATATCTGTTTCTGAAAAATGCAACTTTAAAATCCCTAATGTTACAATTCTGTTTCGATTATAGTGGTTTTCTTTTTTAAAGAAATATACTAATAACTTTTGGTTTTGCTTCTAGAAAAACTGATTGCTTATCAACGAGAATTTCTTGCTTTAAAAGAACGGCTCCGAATAGCTGAACACAGAATCTCTCAGCGGTCTTCCGAACTCAGTGCCATTGTACAGCAGTTCAAGCGTGTAGGAGCAGAAACAAACAGAAGTAAGGATACGGTGAATAAATTTTCAGGTACAGACGATATTTTTGGTTTTATGAAAAGATTACATTTTCAACGTGTTATGTGAAATACTCTCTTTGAAAGCTGTCTAGAGTCGCTTATCAGCCAACATTTGTTACCCTCTACAGAGAGAAAAATCACCATACAAAACTTTTTCTGTTGTGGTTAATTATAAAACAAGTTTATTAATTGCTAAATTTGATTTAAAGAGAGTAATATTAAGTTAAGTTTCAGTTGTATAAATTTCACTGCCAATAGTGAAGAACCAGCATCTTTTAAAAAAAACATTTAGAATGAGACTAAAATTTAACTTGGTGTTTATGCATGTTTCTGTTGTGACTTGTGTGGACTTCAGATGGACTCTGGGGAACCTTTGCGCTATCTGAAGCAATTAGAGCTCTCAGATATGACTTATAAGAAATAAAAAGATACAGTTTTATAATGGGTACTTTTGGGGGTACCTGACCTGTTCCCTCTCTCAGAAATTCTGGTCTGAGTGAAATGAATATCAACCATCTTCTGTTTCTTTCCTATTCTTATTCTAATGACTAAATTGATATATGTATATAATCAGTTGACTCCAAATCTACATAATCTTCCAAGAAGAATACACTTTTTCATTTAGCATTATCTGTTATAATCTTTCACCATTAATTCCTCTCATCTTGAGATTCAGTACCTTACCTTATTTTTAGAGATTCACGCCCCTTTCTTCCCCTCCTGATTGTAAAATTTGTATTATGGCACAGTAACATTTAAAATTATGGAATGGTTAACATTCTTTGTTTTCTTCCAGTCTTTTTTCCATGCATATTTTTCTTCAAAATTGTAATTGTGTGTTTTATGGCCTTATTTTTGCTCTTGAAATTATGCTATTAGCATTTTACTATGGCATTGAATATTCTTTTAAAATACCATTTTTGATGACATATATATCAGCTAATCATATACTATAATATATTAAATATTTTTCTACAAATAGGCAAATAGGATTATTCTGGGTTGTTTTTGTCCCCCAATTTATAACTCTGTGAAGAACATCTCTGTATATAAATCAATTACTTTTATGGTAGGCCTTAAGTTATTTTCATTAGATTATGACTTTCTTAAAAACAGAATCTGTGTTTTGATGACTGTTGATTTCCAAACATGCCACAGTGGCTGGAACAACAGTGATAATTCACTAAATATTTATTGATTGCATAGAAGTTAAATTCCTAAAAGGGAAATTACTGAATAATAGGGCAGGAATGTTTTAAGGGTTTTGATGCTGTTCTTAATAGCTGAAACATTTATCACATTATCACCACAATTTAATATTACTGTTTAATCTGCTAACTTAATTTGATGGGTAGATATTGTTGTCTTGTAATTTGTAGTTGTTGCTTTTACATGAGGTTAAACTTTAATTTCATGTGTGATAGTTTCATTTCTTTTGTGAACTTTCGGTTCTGAATATTCAGAATACTTTAAGGGAATTTTCATATGGCTCTGTATAAAATTGTTATTGAGACTGCAAGTCCTTACTGCTAACTTGCTTATTTAAAAGGTTAAGTTCTAGTTCAATGGAATTTTAAAACAATATTGGTTATCCTACCAAGGTTTTATTTTCTATTATATTAAATGGTTCATTGGTTCCTCTCATAAAAACTGAAAAACGATTTGAAAGTTATGAACTGTACCAAACATTCTCAACTTGTGCTGTTTAAATTAGTGTACTTGAACTAAAAAAAAATCTTCCATGTGAAATTTTGGTCAAATATAATAGCATAAAAAAGTGAAAGTTACTGGTGGTCGTTGTACTTATTATTATTACATTTTCATGAGTGGATAGCGTGTTTACAGTCTGTCCCCCAGGGCTTGAGTTCTGGCACATTATAAAGGTGAGTGGTTCACATTCTATCTTCTCGTGGTACTCTGGCTGACCTTTTTAGCTTCGCTCAGACTGTTATCATCATCATGACTCTGTGAGACTCTGGTTGCCTAAGTGTCCTTAGAAATCTCATTGACCAAAGTATGAAATTAGGATAGAAAATTCTTTTAGTTTTCATAAATGTTTACCACTATCTTTGTAACATCAGCAACTTCTATAAGTAAGGTATTACGGTGGATTGATTATACTTCTGTATTTCAGATGGTACCCTAAAGCTCTTGAGGGAGTTAACAAGCAAAAAATCTCTTCAAGTGCCAAGTATTTATTATCATTTGCCTCATTTATTACAAAATGAACGGAGCCTTCAACCTGTTGTGCAGATTGGTAATGGAAGAACAGGAGGTATGTTTGTTTTGTTTCCTATTGTATTTGCACTGATGGTCTTAATTATGTCTTGGAGTATTATGTTGACCATTAGAAGTCAGGCAGGTCGGGAGTCAAGATGGCGGACTAGGAGGATGCAGAATTTGCGCCTCTGCACAACTAGGGCACCTACCAGGCACCAGTGGGGGACCACAGACACCTAAGGGGCAGGAGGAACCCCCAGTGATGGGGTAGGACGTGGGCGTGGGGGGAGTGAAGGGGGAGAAGTGGAGGCAGGACGGGACTGGCGTCCCTGAGGGGCGGCTGGGGGAGGGGAAGGGATCCCATGCCAAAGCGGGAAATTGGGGAACCACTGGGAGAGCAGAGGATCAAAAGGGAGCGTGGCCAGGTTTCCCCTGCCCACTTGGGCCCCTGGGAGCCTGCTGAGATCCCAGGACTGGTCCTCTGCCCACCAAGGCCCCCTCCAGCCATGCGGGTCCTGAGGGAGTGGGAGGGAGGGAAGGGGAGCAAAAATAAAGGCCGGACCTCTGGGTGGGAGAGGGGAGGAGTTCCTACACCCAGCGGGACCCACCCACGGTTAGGGGTCCAGGGGTGATGGGGGAGACCCTGGGGGAGATGGTGGGGGAGGGGCATGGAGGAACAGAAGGGAACGCGGGCAGTGCTTTCCCTGTCCACTTAGGTACCGGGGAGCCTGTTGGGCTTCTGGGCCTAATCCTGTACCCTTGGAGCCTCCCTCTTGCCGTGCCGAGCCCAAGCCCCGAACCTACACCCCCAACTCTACACTCAGAGACCCCCTGCATCGTGCTGGGCCTAAACCCCACCCACACACCCTCACTCAGGGCCTTACCTCCAAACTCTGGAACTCCTCACTCCAGAGGCCCTCCTTTAGACGTGCTGCCTCTCTCCTTCCATGCAGGTCCTAAGCAGAGGCCCCGCTGCACGCTTGAACGTCACCCTGCCTAGGCCCCGCCCCCAAGCCTTTTCTGGCTGTGTGTCTTGAGCCTAGGATCCACCCCATGCTCACCCCCACCCACCTTGTTCCCCCTCACCCTAAACCCTGCCGCTGCCTAAGTTCCACCCCTGCCTAACCTCCGCCCCCATAGCCAAGGCTTTTTTTTCCCCCTTTTTTCCTCTTTTAGATTGGGGTTCTGTTTTACCTTGTTGATTCATTTATATTCTTATTTTTCCTAATCTTTTATTTTTCTAATTTTATTTTATTCCTTATACTTTGTTATAGTTCTCTCCTTTTGGCTTGTTCACGCCCCTTTTTTTTCTTTTTTCTGTTGTGGTTTTATTTTACCTTGTTGCAGTTGTTTCAATTATATTTTTATTTTTCCTAATATATTTTTTATTATTCTAGTTTTATTTTGTTTTTTATTCTTTGATATTGTACTGCTCCTTTTTTCTTTCTTTCTTTCTTTTTTCTTTTTTTTTGCCACATCATGCAGCTTGCGGGATCTTGGTTCCCAGGCCAGAGGTTGGGCCAGACTTCCTGTGGTAGGAGCTCCAATTCCTAACCGCTGGACTAACAGAGAACCTCAGACCCCAGGGAATATTAATCAGAGTGAGGCTTCCTGGAGGTTCTCATCTCAGCACCAAGACCTGGCTCTCTCCAACTGCCTGCAAACTCTGGTGCTGGACACCTCACGCCAAACAACAAGTAAGATAGGAATATAGCCTCACCCATCAAAAAAAAAAAAAAAAAAAAGGAGAAAAAATATGTTACAGATGAAGGAGCAAGGTAAAAACCTACAAGACCAAATAAATGAAGACGAAATAGGTAACCTACCTGAAAAAGAATTCAGAATAATGACAATAAAGATGACCCAAAATCTTGGAAACAGAATGGAGAAAATACAAGAAACATTTAACAAGGATCTAGAAGAACTAAAGAGCAAAGAAACAGTGATGAACACAATAACTGAAATTAAAAATACTCTAGAAGGAATCAGTAGCAGAATAACTGAGGCAGAAGAATGGATAAGTGAGCTGGAAGATAAAATGGTGGAAATAACTGCCGGGGAGCAGAATAAAGAAAAAAGAATGAAAAGAATTGAGGACAATCTCAGAGACCTCTGAGACAACATTAAATGCACCAACATTCGAATTACAGGGGCCCCAGAAGAAGAAGAGAAAAAGAAAGGGTCTGAGAAAATATTTGAAGAGATTATAGTCGAAAGCTTCCCTAACATGGGAACGGAAATAGTCAATCAAGTCCAGGAAGCGCAGAGTCCCATACAGGATAAACCCAAAGAGAAACATGCTGAGACAAATATTATTCAAACTATCAAAAATTAAATACAAAGAAAAATTATTAAAAGAAGCAAGGGAAAAACCACAAATAACATACAAGGGAATCCCCATAAGGATAACAGCTGATCTTTCAGCAGAAACTCTGCAAGCCAGAAGGGAGTGGCAGGACATATTTAAAGTGATGAAAGGGAAGAACTTACAACCAAGATTACTGTACCCAGCAAGGATCTCATTCAGCTTTGACAGAGAAATTAAAACCTTTACAGACAAGCAAAAGCTAAGAGAATTCACCACCACCAAACCAGCTCTACAACAAATGCTAAAGGAATTTCTCTAAGTGGGAAACACAAGAGAAGAAAAGGACCTACAAAAACAAACCAAAAACAGTGAAGAAAATGGTAGTAGTAGGAACATACATATCGATAATTATCTTAAATGTAAATGGATTAAATGCTCCAACCAAAAGACATAGACTGGCTGAATGGATACAAAAACAAGACCCATATATGTGCTGTATACAAGAGACCCACTTGAGACCTAGGGACACATACAGACTGAAAGTGAGGGGATGGAAAAAGATACTCCATGCAAATGGAAATCAAAAGAAAGCTGGAGTAGCAATTCTCATATCAGACAAAATAGACTTAAAATAAAGACTGTTAAAAGAGACAAAGAAGGACACTAAATAATAATCAAGGGATCAATCCAAGAAAAATATATAACCATTTTAAATATTTATGCACCCAACATAGGAGCACCTCAATACATAACGCAAATGCTAACAGCCATAAAAGAGGAGATCAACAGGAACACAATCATAGTAGGGGACTTTAATGCCCCACTTTCACCAATGGACAGATCATCCAAAATGAAAATAAATAAGGAAACGTAAGCTTTAAATGACACATTAAACAAGATGGACTTAATTGATATTTATAGGACATTCCATCCCAAGACAAGAGAATACATTTTCTTCTCAAGTGCTCATGGAACATTCTCCAGAATAGACCACATCTTGGGTCACAAGTCAAGCCTTGGTAAATTTAAGCAAATTGAAATCGTTATCAAGTATCTTTTCCGACCACAGTTCTATGAGAGTAGATATCAATTACAGGAAAAAAACTGTAAAGTGTACAAACACATTGGAGGCCAAACAATACACTACTAAACAACCAAGAGATCACTGAAGAAATCAAAGAAGAAATCAAAAAATACCTAGAAACAAATGACAATGAAAACACGACGACTGAAAACCTGTGGGATGTGACAAGAGCAGTTCTAAGAGGGAAGTTTATAGCAATACAATCCTACCTCAAGAAACAAGAAAAATATCAAATAACCTAACCTTATACCTAAAGCAATTAGAAAAGAAGAACGAAAAAACCCCAAAGTTAGCAGAAGGAAAGAAATCTTAAAAATCAGATCAGAAATAAATGAAAAAGAAATGAAGGAAGCAATAGTAAAGATCAGTACAACTAAAAGCTGGTTCTTTGAGAAGATAAGCACACTTGATAAACCATTAGCCAGACTCATCAAGAAAAAAAGGGAGAAGACTCAAACCAACAGGATAAGAAATGAAAAAGGACAAGTAACAACTGACACTGCAGAAATACAAAGGATCGTGAGAGGTTACTACAAGCAACTCTATGCCAATAAAATGGACAACCTGGAAGAAATGGACAAATTCTTAGAAAAGCACAGCCTTCCGAGACTGAACCAGGAAGAAATAGAAAATATAAAGAGACCAGTCACAAGTCTGAAGCTGAAACTGTGATTAAAAATCTTCCAACAAACAAAAGCCCAGGACCAGATGGCTTCACAGGAGAATTCTATCAAACATTTAGAGGAGAGCCAACACCTTTCCTTCTCCAGCTCCTCCAAAATACAGCAGAGGGAGGAACACTCCCAAACTCATTCTATGAGGCCATCATCACCCTGATACCAAAACCATACAGAGCTGTCACAAAAAAAGAAAACTACAGGCCAATATCACTGATGAACAATAGATGCACAGATCCTCAACAAAATACTAGCAAATAGAATCCAACAGCACACTAAAAGGATCATACAACATGATCAAGTGGGGTTTATTCCAGGAATGCAAGGATTCTTCAATATATGCAAATCCATCAATGTGATACACCATATTAACAAACTGAAGTATAAAAACCATATCATCATCTCAATAGATGCAGAAAAGCTTCTGACAAAATTCAGCACCGATTTATGATAAAAACCCTCCGGAAAGTAGGCATAGAGGGATCTTTCCTCAACATAATAAAGGTCATATATGACAAACCCACAGCCATCATCATTCTCAATGGTGAAACACTGAAAGCATTTCCTCTAAGATCAGGAAAAAGACAATGTTGCCCACTCTCACCACTGTTTTTCAACATAGTTTTGGAAGTTTTAGCCACAGCAGTCAGGGAAGATAAAGAAATTAAAGGCATCCAAATTGGAAAAGAAGAAGTAAAACTCACTGTTTGCAGATGACATGAGCCTATTCATAGAGAAGCCTAAAGATGCTACCAGAAAACTACTAGAGCTAATCAGTGAACTTGGTAGAGTAGCAGGATACAAAATTAATGCACAGAAACCTCTTGCATTCCTATACACGATTGATGAAAAATCTGAAAGATAAATTAAGGAAATGTTCCCATTTACCATTGCAACAAAAAGAATAAAATACCTAGGAATAAATCTACCTAAGGAGACAAAAGACCTGTATGCAGAAAACTATAAGACACTGATGAAAGAAATTA